ATTATCATCATAGGATGAATAGATAGAGAGATAGAGAGAGAGAGAAAGAAAGAGATAGAGAGAAAGAGAGAGGAAGAGAGAGATAAAGAGAGAGGAAAAACATTTCAATAGAAAGAAACGTCATCCGTACATGCAAAAGGTATATAAATAAATTTCAAGAAGCCAACCGCTAAGATGCAAAAAAACCTACCACACCAGAAATCACACGCACACACCCACACACTCAAACACGCATACACACACACGCACACACACACATAAACAAACAAAAAAACACACACAAAAACGCACACGTTCATGCATGTATACGATCGTAAAGAATCAGGATGGGAGAGAGAGAAAACATTGAAAAATAAATCCATCTAATATGCAGATGATAATAATAACAATAAAAATAATGAACAATAATAACAATGATAATAATAACATTAATAATAATAATAATAATAATAATAATAATAATAATAATAATAATAAACATCGTGTGACATGACATTTCAAAATACAATGTTTCTATATTTCTGAAAAATAATGACGACTTTGACTTTTAAATACCATCTCGAAAAAATAAAAATACAAACACACACACCTACACACACGCAAACACACACACACACAGACATACATACATACACACATACTTAGAAACACAAAAGCAAGCGTACATATATAATGACCACTGCCATAAGCGTTAATATCGTCAATATATCATCAACTCGTGCAAATAAACCAATTTCATTTCTCTTACTTTCTCTCAATCTTTTTCTCCCCCTCCATATTTCACTCACTCATTCATTCTTCATATTTTTAATTCTTTTACTCTACCCCAATTCCTTCTTTCCATCTTTCTCGTTTGATGTTTGATTTACATTTCGGTGAATTACAACAGAAGACAAACAAACACACACGTACACATACATACATACATTCATACATACATACACACACACACACACACACACACACACACACACACACACACACACACACACACACAAACAAAAGCATAAACAAACATCGTACAAATACACACACACACACGCACGCACGCACGCATGCAAACATTCAAAACTAATCAGAGAAGCATTCAAATAA